CTAGTTGAAATTTGTGATTTATTGAGTTTTTACTCGAAGGAATTGGTCCAGTACTAAAAGAGTTACAGTGTTTACAGGCACAAAAAAGCCTACATCATGGTAGAACCAATACCTTCATTGCTCTGCATCGAAGCTTAAATATGAAGGTTAACTAAACACGAATTTATCGATTTAAAGCGTTACCAAATTTTCTTATTCAATACACTATACAAATACTTCACGTTAGGATACTAACATTTTTTGTAGCTATAATGAATAATGTAAGTTTTAGCTTTGTAACATTTTCGTTTTCCAGATAGAAACAAATAAATTGTCTTGTCGACCAAATTACAAAAATACAGTTCTCTTGAAATTAAATGTTGGTTATTTATTACGGCTGTTGATTATTTATGACCCAAGTGTTGTTATCTCAAATAGTTTGTACGAGTAATGTTCAAAAAATAATAACATACTTTTCATACTAATCTTAAAAAATATGCAGTTAACCTAAATACGAATTTATCGGTTTGAAGCGATACCAAAATATCTTATTTAATTAACTGTACGAATACTTTACATTAAAATATTAACATCATTTTTGTTGCTATACATAATAATGTAAGTTTTGGCTTTGAAACATTTTCGATTTTCGGCTAAAAACAAATAAAATCGACCAAAATACAAAATTATAGTTCTTTTGGTATAATATTTTGGTTGGTTTACAACCATTGTTGTTTATTTATGATTCAAGGGTATTATCTGAAATGTTATTATTAAAAAATTAAAGACATTGTCATTATCAGAGGTTGTTTCTAATATAAAAACTTTAATATTACTATTATATAAAAAACCGAGTGAGCCGCGGAAATTACTCACAATAGTTATGTGTAAACGGTAGACCCCGTAATCTTATTACGGGTCTACCTGAAATACAATTTAAAAAGAGCAGAACTTATTATGTGCATGAACATTATTGAGATACGATTAATATTATTTTATATATTTGATATTGTCAGTTTATGATAACTATAATACGATAGATAAACACGAGACTGTAAGTTGTTCATTTTCGCTGAACAATATACAACAACTGAATATCTATAATCTATCTCTTCGCTAAACTCGTCTCGGTCACTCAATAGAACTTGTGGTTCCTCTGCAAAAAAGAAAGAGTCATTATCATTAACGCCATAATATTTATATAGTGGAGTGTCAATTAGATGGCTGAGCCAATCTTTTACTACGCGTTTCCGGACAAACCCTATTAGATAACTCTAAGGGGTGTGTGTTTTTTTTTGTTTTAATCAATTATATGGGTATTTTGTAAATGTTATTATTAAAATGTTAAATAACTTGTTTGCTGCATATTATAATTATAAACTAACCTTAGCTGCTTAATCTTAGTTTCTATTAATAAATAAATAAATATATAAATCAAAATAGTAGTTAATTATTATTTATATTTAATTACTATTTGTTTGAATTGTAAATGTTATTTTTACATATCGATAGGTGTAGTAAAAAGTAGAAAAATAATGTGCGTGATTGATTATTGTAAAATAATGTAATAAAAAACAATTTCTGTAATAAACGCAAATACGTATAAGATTACTATGTTAATATGTCGGTTTAAAAAAAAAAAACAAAATCTAAGGAATGCCTAAAAAACAAATAATACACATTTGTGTAAACAAGTAATACATTTTTTGTATTTGTCAGGTTAGGTTGCAAGCCGAGAGACCTGCGCCAGCGCAAGGCGCAACCCAGCTTCAATGACCACTTCATCATCCTCAAGGCCCTGAATGTCACCGGACCCAAAACTCGCTTCCAAGTTAGTGAGTTGTTCTTCTTCGACCCTCCGTCGCTTTCTCCATGGTTCCGCGACTACTACCGGAGATACCTCATTAGAGGGCATCCTTAGGGCATCATCTTCGTCCGTTACTGAGTTAACACTAGTTTTGTCTACCTCATCTTCATTTAGGTGTTCCATCTCCAATCCTGGAGCCTAACTTTTTTCCTCTGTTCATCCAGCTTTTTTCTGATCTTCATTACCATGAATTCTACTTCATCGCATAAGCGGAATGGACCCAGTTGTCGCAGTCGGTCGAGTACATCCTCTTCTTTTGCTTTCTTATCTGCCTCTTCTTTTCTCAGTTCACGGTCGCTGGATGATAACCGGAGTGAGCCAGGTTTTACCCTATCATCCCCACTCACTTCTGCCGCCCCTTGGGTGGAATTCGAGAACCCTGGGGGAGTAACTTTGTCTTTTTATAACTCTCCATGTTATGGTTTAAAGGGTGGCCTTCCCTACGCTTTTGCCATAGTGCTAGGGGTGTGGTACTTTGTTATAAAGTATAGATCACTATCATAAATACTAAAAGTGTTATCATGTTTGTTTTTGTCTCTTCTATTTTACTCCTATTCTACACTATTTTCACATATTAATTGAGCTTAAAATTATATATTTATTGCTTTAAAAGTTGTACACAACGACATCAATTTATTTATATTGTTTCTCTAGTTTTAGAAATATTACTCTTCCCCTTAATTTTTTTATTCCGTAATACTATCATCTCTTTAAAATCGATGTAACCGGAAAAATATGATTAAAATAATGTAAGTTATGAGTATTTTTGACATTTTCATGTCTTAGCTCTGGCACATAACCGAAAAAAGCGTAACGAAATAAGCGTTATCAAAAAATCGTAACGAAAAAAGCGTTATCAAAAAAGAAATGGGGTTGAAGATGACGTTGGGGGTGGGAGATAGGGGTGAAAATTAGCCTGTACATAACCGTAAAAATGAGTAACGAAAAAAGCGTTACCACACTGAGTGGAGTGGGGTAGGAGATAAAGATGGGAGATAGGGGGCGAGTGATAGGGGGTAGGGATAGGGGTTGAGTGATAAAAAAACAGTGTGCATAAGTATTGTTTAAATAATAAAAATAACCATGTTTTTGAACTAACTACAAAAAAAGTATTTAGGTATCATAATATAAAAACTCTAATAAAAGGCTATAAATGATTAAACCCTAAAAATAACATCCAGGATTCCTAACTTAGATTGGGTAAGTTCACCATTCTAATCATATGAAAGAAACATAATACAAATAATAGAACGTCTAAAATAATAATATCAATGCGGGTGTGATTTGAGAGCCAAAAATTATTCTATAAAACATATAGCTTACAAAAAGCTAAATAAATACATTTTGTTACGAGATGGATGAGTAAACAGGTAATAGCTAAATTGGTTGTCAAGCAGCAAAACAACTACTATTTGTTTACGATTCGTAGGGTTAAGCCATGCTTATTTAATTTAGAACTGAATTTAAAAAAAAAAATCGAACAAACAAACTACATATGCGTTTATACTATTCTTATACGCTTTACATTGAATTCACTGTAATAGATGCCATTAAACGAAGGAGAATCATTTAAGTTTTAACACGGTAGAGCAGTATTCGAATATTTTCGCATTTGAAAAAAAATACAAACAATAATGAATTTTAAAAATTGTGTTATGCTTTTATACGTGTTTGTTCATTTGTATACATCAAACGCAAAAATTCGCAAAAATCCAAAGGTAATTTTACATTTTGTCTTTTTAATTGAAGGCACATGAATTCTAAAATAGTAGTATTCCATTGTTTATTAAAAATAGATATTTCATATTTATAGAAACTAGGCGAACTATATAGAAGGATTTCAGAGAAATATCCAACTGTTCATATTTCTCAAGTAATGGATTATATAGAACAAAACCCAAAAGTGCGCAAGGAATTTGGAATTACTGGACGGGATGATGATAAGATATTAAGAACCGGGTGGACTACGTTGAATAATAATAACGCATTAATAGATATTGTAAAATAAATACATGTGAAATGTGAGTATTAATACTATTATAAATAAGGTATCTGGGGTAAAATAAAAATAAAAAAATGCAGAATGTAAAGGTATTTGGATAAGAAAAGCTATATAAATATATATTAAACGCTTTTATCTTGTTTTTTTACAAATTGTGTTAGAATGTTAAACGTTTTACAACAGTTACACTAATTGTAAGAACTATTGAAATATTCATTTTATGACATTCCTTAGGAATATTTTTTGTTAACGCGATTGTAGTTTGTTTGAAAACTGAACAAGCGGACAAATATAATTATTGCTCTTATGTGATTTTGATGTGTAGTACCCTTAATTACCAAATATTATTCATAGAAACGCAATAATAATAATTGTAACCACTCCATCCGTTATAGCATAATTAAGCTTGGTAAATTTTAAAATGAGTACTTTTATAATGATTTCTAGTCCACACAATGTCGGAAGAGCAATTTGTAGCATTAATAACATCAAAATTTAATAATTATGTAATTATGATTTTTTTCTATCCTAATATATGATATATTTTAAAAAAAAAATATATAATAATAATTAAATACTCTATAAGTTTAGTGAATAATATAATAGTTAAATTCTAGATTAATTATTTCTATAATAGTAGTATTCACATTGTGTATAAAAATCAGAAATTTTATGATTTTAGCAACTCGGAAAAATGTATGATAAAATCGCTAAAGCTGTAAAGGATAATATCCTAGTAACCAAGGAAAGAGTTAAATGGTTTTTACTGAAGAAACGACTTATATATAGACTAAGTGCAAAGGAAATCGAAGCGTTAACTAAACCAATGAAGGGTAAAACGCTTTTATCTTTTTTTTTCAACGAAATCTGTTACAAAACTATTTTATGACAGTTAGACTGATTTAAATTTATATTGAAATAATCATTTAATGACATTGCTCATAATGTGTTTTTTATACACGATTTTCAATGATTTAAAAACCAAACAAGTGGGACAGACAAAAATTTTTGATTTTATATGGCTTGTCATAATACCCGTTATTTGGCCATTGTATATAAAAACGCAATAATAATAATTGCAACAGCTCAAACTGTTACAGCATTGTATAGTTTGATAAGTTTTAATGTGAATACCTTTTAAATGATTTCTAGATGATGCTATGACATTTGGCGAATTTCGTAGATTCATGGTTTTCAAAAAATAATGTATTCGCTTCAAGACCAACGGTGGTAGATTTAAACACTTGCAGCCTCCAGGCAAGTAATATGTTCACCATTACAAAATTTTTGTTTCTTTCCCAAATAAAGGACATAACATTTTATATATTGCAATATTATGGCATTGTAAATTTATTTTTATATCAAAATTTCAGGCCTATAAATTTACTACAATATTCTATCGCCGTTCGCTGTAATTAAAAATTCAAACTTTTTAAAGTATTCAATTTAAGTTTATTTAAATAAATATTCAAGGTTTATGTACTAATTCATATTTAAAGGGTGCGTGTTTTTTTTCGTTTTTATCAATTATATGGGTAATTTGTAAATGTTATTATTAATATTATAAAAAATGTTTAAATAACTAGTTTCCAGCTTATTCAAAATATAATTTAACCTTAGCTGCTATGTCTTTTCTGATAGTAAAAATATACATATCCAAATAAATGTTGCATTTACTTTTGAGTTGAGTGTAGTATCGTTTTTTACGTACGTTTTTTATAGTGATACAAAATAATGTAAATTTTATGATGTTATATATAACAATGCTGTATATAATAATGTAAGTCTAGAAACAAATAAAATGTCTTATCGACCAAAATAAGTGTTTCTATCTAAAATATAATTTTTAAGAATTTTAAAACATTGTCATCAACAACGTTATCACGATATTGAGTGGATCACTCTATTACTATAATATTGTTTTCTTTACACTCAATATAAACTCTATATAATCTTTGAAAATCAAATTCAATCCTATGAAATGTCTGATTATGATTTTATAGATAACAGCTATAAATTGAAATAATAAATATTTAGTGACAGTTTACATTTACAAAAAAAAAAATAAGGTAATTTTTTGTAAAAATTGTGTCGGTGAATATTATTTTGTTGTATCTTTCTCATTATGTGACTAACATAGTACCACACTATTGATCAAAGAGATTATGTTTAAGATTTGCTTTATTCGTTAAAAAAAAGATATTTATAAAAGTAAAAATAAAATCAATGATTCTTTGCTTAATTTAAATATGTTTACCAGTTTAATCATAAGAAAGAAACCTAATACAAATAATAAAACGTCTAAAATAATAATATCAATGTGGATAAGATTTGAAAAAAAATCATTTTCCTATATCAAGGTTTTGTAAACAGGTATTAAATATATTTTTTGTTTTTGAGGCTGAAGCCACGATTTTAAAAATCAATATGAAATTTCAACATTTATTGATAATTGAGTAAAAGAGTCATTCAGTAATCATGTATACAACAATATAAAGTCGGTTTTTAAAGTGTTAAAAAAAAAGGTCGTCAAAAACCGAAATCTATTAATATAATATCAAATTCGTTGTATTGACGAAACTCGTTTGGGGTAAATTAAGATGGAAAATTCTGAGAGACAAATGCCTCTCATAGATTTAAAAATTGTAGTACATAAGCAAAAAAAAATTTGTACGATTAATGTTCAAATAATAACATGTTTTCATACTATACTAAAAAATATAAAGTTAAACTAAATACGAATTTATCGGTTTAAAGCGATACCAAAATATATTTTTAGGTGTTATATTAAATAATGGAAGTTTTGGCTATATAAAATTTTCGATTCTGGCTTGACACAAATAAAATCGACTAAAATACAAAATTATAGTTCTTTTGGTGTAATATTTTGGTTGTTTTACAACCGTTGTGGTTTATTTATGATCCAAGGGGTTTTATCTGAACTGTTATTTGTTAAAAATTAAAAACATTGTCATTATCAAAGGTTGTTTATGATGTAAAAACTTTAATAATACTATTATATAAATAAATTTCAAATATATTGATTGCGCAATTATTAAACTAGTCACTTAGTCTATTATTAATTAAACCCTAAAAATAAAATCCAGGATACCTAACTTAGCTGGGTAAGAGCACCAGTGTAATCATATAAAATAATCACAATACAAATAATAGAACGTCTAAAATAATAATATCAATATGGGAGTGATTTGAAAATCAAAAATTATTCTATAAAGCATTTAGCTTACAACAATTTGTTGTGTTTGTCAATCAGCAAAACAACTACTATTTGTTTACGATTCGTAGGCTAAAGCCATGCTTATTTATTTTAGAATTGAATTTTAAAATAAATCGAACAAACAAAATACATATTCGCTTATACAAATTTTATAAGCTTTACACTGAATTCACTATAACAGAAGGCATTAAACGAAGAAGAATCATTTAAGTTATAAACACGGCAGAACAGTATTCGAATACTTTGGCATTTAAAAAAAAACACAAAATAATGAATTTAAAAAATTGTATTGTGCTTTTACATTTGTTTGTTCATTTGTATACAGCAAACGCAGGAATTCGCAACAATCCACAGGTAATTTTACATTTTTTTCTTTTTTATTGAAGGCACATTCATTTTAAAACAGTAGTATTCACATTGTTTATTAAAAATAGATACTTGATATTTATAGAAACTAGGCGAACTATATAGAGAGATTTCATTTAAAGTCCCAAAAGTTTTTATGTATATAGTAAGAGACTATATAGAAAAACCAGACGTGTACAAGAAATTTGGAATTACTGGACGGGATGAAAAAAGGATATTAGGAACCCGTTGGAGTACGTTGAATAATAATAACTCATTAATAGATATTGTAAAATAAATACATGTGAAATGTGAGTATTTATACTATTATGAATACGGCGTCTGGGTCAAAATTTAAAAAAAAATGCAGAATGCGTCTGTAAAGATAATTGGGTGAAAAAAGTTATTATAAAAATACAAAACGCTTTTTCTTGTTTCTTACAAGTCGTGTTAGAATGTTAAACGTATTATAACACTTACACTAACAGTAACAATTATTGAAATATTCATTTTACGACATTCCTTAGAAATTTTTTTTCATCGCGATTGTAGTTTGTTTGAAAACTGAACAAGTGGGCAAATACAATTATTGCTCTTAAGTGATTTTGATGTGTAGTATCCTTAATTACCAAATATTATTCATAAAAACACAATAATAATAAATGTAACCACTCCATCCGTTACAACATATTTTGGTTTGATACAATTTAATATGAGTACTTTTATAATGATTTCTAGCTAAAGAAATGTCGGAAGAGCAATTTGTAGCATTAGTAACATCAAAATTTAGTTATTGGGTAATTATGATTTTTTTCGATCCTAATATATGATATATTTAAAAAAAAAAATTATAATAATTAAATACTCTATAAGTTTAGTGAATAATATAATAGTAATAATTCTAGATTAATTATTTCTATAATAGTAGTTTTCACATTGTGTCTTAAAAACAGAAATTTTATGATTTCAGCAACTCGAAAAAATGTATAAAAAAATCTCAAAAGCTGTAAAGTATGATTTCCTAGTAACTAAGGAAACAGTTAAAAGTTTTTAATGAAGAAACGACTCCTATATAGACTAAGTGCAAAGGAAATCGAAGCGTTAACTAAACCAATGAAGGGTAAAACGCTTTTATCTTTTTTTTCAACGAAATCTGTTACAAAACTATTTTATGACAGTTAGACTGATTTTAATTTATATTGGAATATTAATTTAATGACATTGCTCATGATGTATTTTTTCGACACGATTTTAAATGATTTAAAAACCAAGCAATTGGACAGACACAATTATTGATTTTATATGGCTTGTCATAACACCCGTTATTTAGCCATTGTATATAAAAACGCAACAATAATAATTGCAACAGCTCAAACTGTTACAGCATTATATATTTTGATAAATTTTAATGTGAATACTTTTTAAATGATTTCTAGATGATGCTATGAATTTTAGACAGTTTCAAAATTTTATGGTTTTCAAAGAAAATCATTTATTATATACAGATATATAACACCAGCCGGTGGTAGATTTAAACGTTTACAGGACCCAGGTAAGTAATATGTTCACTCTCACCCTTTTTTTGTTTCTTCCCCAACTGAAGGATATAACATTTTATATCATTTTACATATTGCATTATTATTGCATTGTAAATTTGTTTTTATATCAATATTTCAGGGCTATAATTTTACTACAACATTCTATTGCCGTTCGCTGTAGTCAAAAAGTCAAATTTATTAAAGTATTCAATTAAGTTTATTTAAATAAAAATTCATGGTTTATGTATTAATTCTTAAAACTCTAAGGGGTGTGTGTTTTTTTTTTGTTTTAATCAATTATATGGGTATTTTGTAAATGTTATTATTAAATATTATTAAAATGTTAAATAACTTGTTTTCTGCATTATATAATTATAAACTAACCTTAGCTGCTTAATCTTAGTTTCTATTAATAAATAAATAAATATATAAATCAAAATAGTAGTTAATTATTATTTATATTTAATTACTATTTGTTTGAATTGTAAATGTTATTTTTACATATCTATAGGTGTAGTAAAAAAGTAGAAAAATAATGTGCATGATTATTGTTAAAATAATGGAAAAAACAATTTCTGTAATAAACGCAAATACGTATAAGATTACTCATGTATAAATATGTCGGTTTAAAAAAAAACAACAGAATCTATAGGAATGCCTAAAACACAAATAATACACATTTGTGTAAACAAGTAATACATTTTTTGTATTTGTCAGGTTAGGTTGCAAAACAATTACTGTTTCTATGATTCGTAGCCGTACTCAAGAAATACATTTATTGCACAATGTAATATAAATAAATGCATATAATTGCCTCATTTGGTTACAGTACTTCAAAAAATAAACAAAAACTGTCGGAAATGCCTTCACATATTATAAAAGTCATATCAGATCATCTGATTTAAATATTCGTTGATTTAAACTCAGTTAAGATGGTAAATAGTCTTCAGAAATAAGTATACCTTTTTTTTTTCCAATTCAGAATTGTAGACGACCCCGGGACTTAGCCAATCGTCATTACTACAGGGCTGCCAACATCGTTTATTGTGACAAATGGTCGAACCTCGTTCCGCATAGTTGATG